CAAACGAAGTGCCAATCTTCATCAAAGCAGTGGAAAGAAACACTTAGATATGCGATGATAGTGGTGGGATGAAAGTTTGCGCAGGGAGGGAAGGACGGCAGGAGAGAAATAGAAACATAAGGAAAGCGAAGGGCCTAATCCAGGCATAAGGGAAAGCAAGCCCTAGGGGAAAACTGTGGAACCAAGGTTTTCGGACAAAATCCGAGATGCAGACAATCCGAAACATCAGAAACAAAAAAAACGTGAACCATCAAAGAAACCATTTGATCTTCAACGACTAATCGTAAACAAGAGAGCCCAACCAATACCAAGGTGTCGCTTAGTTTTTTCCTCGGGGAACATTTTTTTTGTTTTTGCATGTTTTCTGTGTAGTTTAGATTTTCGTTTTTTTTTGGGGTCCCATATTGAAAAGCCAACGGAACCAAGGTTTTCTGAAAACGCAAAAAAATCCACAAAGGGAAAACTCAAAGAAACCATGGGTTTGTCGAGAAAAGCAGGAAAACAACAACCAAAGCCAAGGTTTCGCTTAGTTTGTTTCTGATTTTTCTTGGGAAGCCATGGTTTCTTTGATTATCACGGTTATTTGTTTTTCCCCCGATGTTCTGTTTGGTTCGTTTTTTTCCGAAAGCCTTGGTTTTTAAATTGGTTCCCAAGGTTCGCTTCCCCATATGACTCTCGCAATTTCTTTAGTATTCTTCCTTATTCTCTTTCCCTTCCTCCCTCCTCCCTCCATTTTCATCCTGCATCGCCCACCACACAAAGAACACCGCACAGCATAGAATACCGCACATCACCGAATTGAACACCTACGCGACATCAAACTGCTTGAAACGTCCACACAGTGTGCCACTCTATCCCCCTACCTCGGAGGAGGAGGGAGGAACGGAAGACGCGGAAGGAGGGGAGGGAGGGAGGAGGAGCAGGAGTCGGAGTGGGAGTCAAGTTAGCCAGGTCGAGCGCGACAGAGGGCCTTGCCTTTCAACCCGCATAGTCAAGATGAGTGACTTTTCAAGGCTACCCTTGCATCCTTCCCCTTCTGCCCATCCTTGGCCGCTTTCGTTGGCCGCGCCCCGCCCGCAAAGTGTCGGCATGGCCTTCCAAGGCCCTGGAATCCTGACCGTGCGTCCTTATCATACGGGACGACTGTGCTCCCACCCTCCGTTGGTGTCGTTCGGTTTCTGCTCCGGACCTTGCCGCGGGCGGTTCGAGGTTGAATGCCGCCAGCGGCCCGGAATCAGCCGATATCGAAGAGTTTGGCGATCGACACGCCCCTCCCGCGAAGTGGGGCGCCCCAGAAGAAGAACGGGAGGAGGGAGGATCGGCAGGAGGGAGGAGGAGCAGGAAGGAGGACCCCCCCCCCGCAGCGCTCGGGCCCCGCCGCGCCCGCCCCAGCTGCTGGAGTGGGTGCCGGCGTCGCGCCTGGTCCCCGAAGCGGACTTCGAGACGACGCGCGCCGCGCCCCGCCGCGCCCTGTCCGCGTTCGCGGCGCGCCGTGGTGTAGGAGGGGAGGGGGCGTATCTGGGAGAGAGGAGGAGGATTGGAGGAGGAGGAGGGGGAGGAGGGGGAGGAGGAGGAGGAGGAGGAGGAGGAGGAGGAGGAGGAGGAGGAGGAGAAGGAGGAAGCGAGAACCTCATCCTTCTTCCTATCCTCTCATCTCTCTTTACCTCTTGGTTCGTGTTGCCCCTCCCACCGGCGCTCTGGCTGGAGAGGTTCGAGGGCCGCATTCGTAGAGACAAAGTCCGCAGCTCGAAGCTCGAAGGAGGAGGAGGATGAAGAGGAGGAGGAGGAGGAGGAGGAGGAAGAGGAAGTGGAATAGAGGATTGGACTGGGCATCGCTCGGACGTGTGCGTTTTTGTTTCCTCGGCGAGAGCTATCTTGGAGCATGTGGGATCAGCTTGCGAATATATAAACGCACGACATCGAAAAATGCACGGGGAAGAGACGTCCGAGCGATGGCGAGTGGAGGATTGGAGGATTGGAGGAGGAGGAGGATTGGAGGAGGAGGAGGAGGAGGAGGAGGAGGAGGAGGAGGAGGATAGGAGGATAGGAGGATTGGAGGATTGGAGGAGGAGGAGGAGGAAGAGGAAATGGTACTGATACCGCCACCCTTCCCTTGTCGCCACGGCTGGAGTCGCCTCGAGATCTTGGACAGAACGGACCCCTGGAGAGGTCCGGGGAGTAGCAGTATCGGCATTTGTTTGCCCCCCAGAGTATGAGGGAGGGGGAGAGGGAGGAGGAGAAGGAGGAGGAGGAGGAGGAGGAGGAGGGACCAGTGTAAATCCAGGACGCATCAACGATGTTGCAATCAACCCTCCAAGCTCCCGCTTCATGAGCCCCTACAAGAATTTATATTAATTGCGGAAAGTGCCCCGCTGGAAGACACCCGTTTTGGAATCTCCAACCGTGCGAAAACACCATCCTTGGGATTTCGCCAGCACGAATCAACGTGACTGGTGCGTTCTGACAATCCTAAATCATGCGCCAGACGAATCCTTAAACATGCTGTGAGCTGTTACGACGAATGTGCGCGGCGCTAAGGCAAGAGCCACAGTTTGAAGAGGAATTGCCCCCCCATCCTTAAAATTGTTGTGAGCTTGAAAACAAATGTGCACGGTGCTCAGGCGAGAACCACATTTTGAAAAGCAGCTGCCCTACATCTTTGAAGCTGTTGAACAGATTTATGACGAATGTGCGCGGCGTCAAGGCGAGAGCCACATTTCGAAAACCAACCCGCCCTCCATCCTTGAATCAGTTGCAGAATTAACCCTCAGGATGACAAATTGTGAGAAGGAGGAGGAGGAGGGGGAGGTCTCATGCGAGACGCCCTGCCCGCCCGACCGACACGTCTTGGGGCGTGACAGGGACGAGCTATTTATAAGAAGAAGGGATGGAGAAGGAGGACGAGGAGGAGGACGAGGACGAGGAGGAGGAGGAGGAGGAGGACGAGGAGGAGGAGGAAGAGGAGGAGGGAGGAGGAGGAGGAGGAGGAGTAGGGAGGAGGTTGAGGACGAGGAGGAAGGAGGATGATGAGGGAGGAGCAGGAGGGAGGAGGAGGGAGGAGGAGGGAGGCAGAAGTTTCGGTTCCAGCCATATCCAGTCCGAGACGTCAAACAGGGTGGAGATAGGGCCCCACACCCTCGGCCCTCGGACGTTTCTGGCGACCGTTCTAGGGCCTCCCGCGCCCATATCTATCACAAATCACTACGGTGACGATCGCGATCAGCAAGGATGGCATCAACCTTTCCATATCACGACTGCATTCCGGCGCGTCGTTGGAGCGCGTGCGTTCCAGCAGGTTATCATGGGCAGTTGCGTCTACGGCGCGTTCACCGACGGCAGTGTGCTCAATATGGGAATTACCCGTGCGAGCGAGGAATACATGGGCGCGTGTGCGCTCTCGACCTTCCGCGACGGCCGCGTCACTCGCGCTGATTCCCATGAGGGTCTTGGGTCGGAAGGTTGGGTCTTGGGTCGGAAGGTTGCCAGAAACGTAGCATCGGTTTTGAGCCCGTCGGATATCGTTGCCCACTGTTTGTCGTTGTGGCACGCGCATGAACATGTATGGCAAGTTGGCTTGCATCGCCTGCTGCTCCTACGTTCGGGTTACTGTGCGTTGTCTTTGCGGTCGCCAGCGAGCCGTGGCAGCAAAGATATCGAGCTCGGCGCCACCTTCGCCGTCCTCACTCGCCGCTGCAGTTCACTTTGGTTGAAGACGATTTACATCGATAGTCGCGCCTCGTTGATTGCCGTGCGGACATCCCAACGTCAATGGGGCTTGCAGAGCTTCGGTCGGTATGTCAGCGGGTGGTCGTCATAACGGGGGAGTTGCAGAAGGCTCGACCCGCTCGTTGAGGTCCCGCCCGATCCGCCCGTTAGGGTCCCGCTCGCCTGCAAAGACTCAAGTGCAAAACCGCAACACGAGGATTTGCACGGGCTCCCGCTCCGGATCTGCCTCCTGTCGCTTCCCGGCTCGTCGTCCGCCGTGCCCGTCGTTTCTTTTTCTCGCCCTTACGTCTTGGCTTTCTTTCCTTCTTTCGGCAGCCCTGGACGACGTCCAGGGAGGCCCACGGCACCGGTCACCTGAGGACAGACATGCCGTCAACGTGGAGCGTCGAGGAGGATGAGGATGAGAATGAGGAGGAGGAGGAGGAGGAGGAGGAGGAGGAGGAGGAGGAGGGAGGAGGGGGAGGAGGAGGAGGAGAGGGAGGAGGGGGAGAAGGAGAGGCGGTGGGGGGGCGGTGGGGGGGGCGGTGGGGGATTAGAGGGGAGGAGGAGGGGCAAGGGAGGAGGAGAGGAGGAAGGAGGGAGGAGGAGGATGACGAGGAGGACGAGGAGGAGGAGGACGAGGAGGACGAGAGGACGAGGAGGACGAGGACGAGGAGGACGAGGAGGACGAGGAGGACGAGGAGGACGAGGAGGACGAGGAGGACGAGGACGAGGAGGAGAGGACGAGGAGGAGGAGGAGGAGGAGGAGGAGGAGGAGGGAGGAGGAGAGGGAGAGGAGGAGGGAGGAGGAGGGGGAGGGAGGGAGGGAGGGAGGGAGGAGGAGGAGGAGCGCGAAGTGGAGGGCAGGAGGAGAGAGGGGGGAGGGGAGGGCGGGAGGAGCAGCAGGAGCGAGACCGACTGCGGCGCGGCCCGCTGGCGCGGCCCGCCAGCAACCTGCTCGAGAACATCCTCAAGGTCGACCAGTTCAAGGCGGCCCGCGGCCCTGGCGGCGGCGCCCTGCGCGGGGAGGGGCGGGCGCGCGCGCGCCAGAGTCTCCTCGCCCGCCCAAGGGTGCCCCAAGAGGGCCCCAAGAGGTGCCCAGGAGGCCCCAAGAGGCCCCCAGGAGGCCCCCAAGAGGGCCACCAGAGGTGCCCAGGAGGCCCCCAGGAGGCCCCCAAGAGGCTCCGAATAGGCCCCGAAGGCACCCAAAAGGCGCACCCCAGAGGCGCCCAAGATGCCCCTGGAAGCCTCGGCCCGTGCGTGTGCGGCCCCCCTCCCCCCGCTGCTGGGTCTCGGAGGAGCGCCAGTTGTCGGCCACGCTCGGGGGGGGGATCGCCGACCGCGTCCACTACTCAGGGAGGGCTTCCCCTCACAGCTGCGCATGACATGCCCAGATATTTTTGTTCGCCCCGCGAATGGCCCAGGAATTCTCCACTCGTGGCCCGCTACTATGACCCACTAATGGCTCCACTGATGGCCCCGCCAGTGGCCCACTGATAAATTTGGCATGTGCCCCACTAGTGGCCCAGTAATGAAGGTGCCCCATTATTGGCTAACGAATGCCTTGCGAATGATGTTTGACACGCGGCTAGCCCATTGATGATCTGCGAACGGTTCGCTTCTTATCTTCCTTTCGCGTTAGCGCGATTGCAAAGCTCGTTAGTGCCACAGCAGGCGGTCATTAGCGTGCCATTAGCCCATTCCGAAGGTACTCCAGATTCCGTAATAAAAGGGAGGGGGTCTGGACCCTCCAAGACAAGCCATTTCAGACCTCCCCCGTGGGAGAACCCTCCAAAACATCGTCCCCAGACCCCCCAGGCCCTCCAAGATAGCCTGGAAGAGACCCCCCAAAAAATGAGACCCCCCTCCCTGTATTACGAAATCTGGAGTACTGTGAGACAGGGACCTTCCTGACACTACGGTCGGACCGAGGTGTGCCAAGGGCGCCCTCGAGGGCGCGAAGTCATTCGTGCTTCGCGGTTCGGCTCCGCTTCCTCGTCATCCTTCTTTTTCTCCTTCGGGGGGCGGCGCGAGAGCGCGAAGTTAGTCGCGCAGCGCGAAGCCCGAAGTTAGGCACCCTTGTATAAGATCGAGGTCGGTTAGGGGAGGGCATCCTAATGTGTTTCGAGTTTGTTGGACTTGCTTGCACATCCCAGGGGAGGGTACACTCGCATTTTCTTCATATTGGCGGGCGGAGGGTCTCATGTCCTTGAAGGATGTTATTCTGTCCTTGGTCTGGGCGTACTCGCAAAGTGCATGCTGTCGAAATATATTTTTTTTCGTCAGAATGTCCGCCTCGATATACTTGATCGTAGACTCCCCGCGGCGGATCCAGGCCGTTTGACAGCAGACATTTTGCGAACAGTGGAGCGCGCTTGTCTAGAGGGGGATGGGGGAGGGGGGAAGACTTCTTGTAAGCACTCCTGCTTCTCAGAAGGCGCGGGCCTTATCCATAGATGTAAGGCCAGTGCCCTCTCGGAAGCAGCACCCTTCCAAGAAACCTTCCCCGCTCCCTCCATCTCTTTGCACGCACCGCCAAAGCTGAGATATCGGCAGTTGTCCGCGGACGGCTCATCCCGCGTTGGCGTCTCCCCAGACGTCGTCGATCCTCGAGCCAGGAGTGGTACGGCGCACAGTTTCTCGTAGTTGTTCGGCCTTGCAGAGCCGATAAACTATCGAAGACGCCTACGGCGAATCACCGCCGCTCCCTGCCTTTGTGGAAACGCCTATGTGGCCGAACGTTGAGGCCAGACCTGCCAAGCTATCGGACCATGTGTTCCCCGAATCGGTTTGGAAAGCCTTCGGGGAACACGTGGGTATCTTGAAGGTCATCTTGGCCGCCTGGAGGCCATTTTGACTCTTTCGGGCCTTCTTGGAGGACGTCTTGGAGGGCTCGTGGGCCGTCTTGGAGGCCATCTTGAGCGTCTTGGAGGCCTCTTGGGCCGTCTTGGGGGCCTCTTGGGGCTGTCTTGGGCGCCTCTTGGGCCGTTCTGGGGCCATCTTGGAGGCCTCTTGGGCGATCCTTGGGCGATCTTTGGGAGCTCTTGGGCCGCATCGGGCCGTCGGAATGCCGAAACGAAGCAAATGTCAAAATCCTTCAAAAACCTTTGGAAAATTACTCTTTTTGGCCTTTTCTGGCCTTCCTGGAGGCCCTCTTGGAGGCCTCTTGGGCCGTCTTGGGCCAGCTGCGAGCTACCTTCGGCCATCTTGGCGGGCTTCTGGCCGGGGCCGTCTTGAGGCCATCTTGGGCGTCTTCGAGGCCTCTCGGCGCCCTCTTGGGGCCGTCTTGGGGGCCTCTTGGGCCGTCATGGGGCCATCTTGGAGGCTTCTTGGGCGACCTTGGCGGCCTCTGGGGCCGTCACGGGCCGTCGGAAAGCCGAAAAGTCGCAAATGCCAAAATCCTTGAAAAATTTAAGGAAAATCAGAGATTTTGGCCTCGTCGGGCCTTCCTGGAGGAACTCTTGGAGGCCTCTTGGGCCGTCTTGGAGGCCTCTTGCGGGCCTTTTGGGCCGTCTTAGACCGTATTGGGGCCATCTTGGGCCGTCTTGGATGCATCTTGGGGCCATCTTAGCCGTCTTGGAGGTCATCTTGGCTGTCTTGGAGGCATCTTGCAGGCCATCTTGTGCCATCTTCGTTATTTTTTGAGGATGTCCTGAGCGAAACGGCCGTTTTTGGCGATGGCAACCGGGTCTTCCGGGTGGCCGGCGGGACGCGCCGGAGCCCCAGGGGGAGCTCTTTTGGAAAAAGAACCAAAACCAAAACCGAAAGGGTCTAGCACGCCAGGCACCCTTGAGATGAATCGACAGGGGGCGGCGGATCGAGGACGCCTACGGCGAATCACCGCCGCCCCCTGCCCCGTTGGAAGCGCCTCTGTGGCCGACAGCTGGGCCAGAGCTTGGCCAAGCTTTCGGGCCAGTTGTTCTCCGAGTCGGTTTGGAAAGACTTCGGGGAACGCGTGGGGGAGCAAGAAGAGGAGGAGGGGGAGGATCAGGAAAAAGGAGGAGGAGGAGGAGGAGGCCTCTTGGGGCACTCTTGGGGCCTCCTGTGAGCTTCATGGGGGCCTCTTGGAGGGTTTTGGGAGGCCTTTGGGGGCTTCTTCGGGGCCTTTTTGGCCGTCTTAGGGCGTTCTTGGTTCGTCTGACGCCGTAGGAAGCCGTCTTGGGGGCCTGTCTGGGCCGTCTTGGAGCCCTCTTGGGGCCGTCTTGGGGGCCTTTTGGGCCGTCATGGGGCCATCTTGGAGGCCTCGTGGGCGATCTTGGGGGGTTTTTGGGCCGTCCTGAGCCGGCGGAATGCTGAGAAGAAGCAAATGCCAACATCTTTCAAACACCTAAGGAAAATCAATTATGTTGACCTCTTCGGGCACTCCTGGAGGCCCTTCTGGAGGCCTCTTCGGCCGTCTTGAAGGCCTCTTGGGCCGTTCTGGGCGCTTCTTGAGGCCATCTTAGGCCGTCTTTGGTGCATCTTGGGCCGTCTTGGAGGCATCTTGGGGCCATGTTAGCCGTCTTGGAGGCCACGTGGCCGTCTTGGAGGCCTCTTGGGCCCTCTTGGGGCCGTCTTGGGGGCCTCTTGGGCCGTCATGTGGCCATCTTGGAGGCCTCGTGGGCGATCTTGGGGGCCTCTTGGGCCGTCACGGGCCGTCGGAATGCCGAGAAGATGCAAATTCCAAAATCCTTCAAAAACCTAAGGAAAGTCAATGCTTTTGACTTCTTCGGGCCCTCCTGGAGGACCTCTTGGAGGCCTCTTGGGCCGTCTTGGAGGCCTCTTTGGGGCCTCTTGGGCCATCTTGAGGCCATCTTAGGCCGTCTTGGAGGCATCTTGGGGCCATTTTGGGCGTCTTGGAGGCCCTCTTGGGGCCGTCTTGGAGGCCTCTTGGGGCCCTCGTGGGGCCGTCTTGGGGGCCTCTTGGGCCGTCATGGGGCCATCTTGGAGGCCTCGTGGGCGATCTTGAGGCGATATGGGGATCCTCTTGGGCCGTCTTGAGCCGTCGGAATGCCGCGAAGAAGCAAATGCCCAAATCTGTCAAAACCATAAGGAAAATCAACGATTTTGGCCTCTTCGAGCCCTCCTGGAAGACCTCTTGAGGGCCTCTGATGCCGTCTTGGGCCGTCTTGGAGGCTTTTTGGGCGAACTTGGAGGTATCTTGGACGCTCTTGGGCCGTCAGGGAGGCCATCTAGAACCGTGTAGAATCATCTTGGAGGCCATCTTGGCCATCTTGGAAGCCATCTTGAGCCGTCTTGGAGTATTTTTTGTGGACGTTGGGGTCCTGGGCAATCCTCCCTGGACCCCGGCGGGACGGGCAGAAGCGCCAGAGGGAGTTCCTTTGGAAAAAGAACCAAAACCAAAACCGAAAGGATCCAGCACGCCAGGCACCCCTGCGATGAATCGACAGGGGGCGGCGGATCGAAGACGCCTACGGCGAATCACCGCCGCCCCCTGCCTTTTTGGAAGCGCCGATGTGGCCGAACGTTGAGGCCAGACCTGCCAAGCCATCGGACCATGTGTTCCCCGAATCGGTTTGGAAAGCCTTCGGGGAACACGTGGGCATCTTGAAGGTCATCTTGGCCGTCTTGGAGGCCTCTTGGGCGATCTTTCGGCGATCTTTGGGGGCTCTTGGGCCGTCTCGGGCCGTCGGAAGGCCGAAAAGAAGGAAATGTCAAAATCCGTCGAACATCTTAGGAAAATCCAGGTTTTTGGCCTTTTCTGGTCTTCCTGGAAGCCCTCTTGGGGGCCTCTTGGGCCAGCTTCGAGCCAGCTTCGGCCATCTTGGTGGGTTCCTGGCACGTCTGACGCCGTCGGGAGCCGTCTTGAGGGCCTTTCTGGGCCAACGGGGGACCCTCTTGGGGCGCTTCGGGACCGTCTTGGAGGCCGTCTTGGGCGTCTTGGAGGCCATCTTGGGCGTGTTGGAGGCCTCTTGAGCCGTCTTGGGGCCCTCTTGGGGCCATCTTGGAGGCCACTTGGGCCGTCATGGGACCCTCTTGGGGGCCTCTTGGGCGATCTTGGGGGCCTCTTGGGCCGTCTTCAGCCGTCGGAATTCCGAGAAGAAGCAAATTCCAAAATCCTTCAAAAACCTAAGGAAAATCAATGATCTTGGTCTCTTCGGGCCCTCCTGGAGGACCTCTTGGAGGCCTATTGGGTCGTCTGGGAGGCCTCTGGGGGGCCTCTTGGGCCTTCTTGGGCCGTCTTGGACTCTCTTGGGCCGTCTTGGAGACGCCATCTTAGCCGTCTTGGAGGCCATCTTGGCCGTCTTGGAGGCATCTTGGAGGCCAGCTTGGAGCCGTCTTGGGCAGGAAAGTAGGGAATTGAGCTCCCCGGCAATCCTCCCGGTACCCCGGCGGGACGGGCCGAAACCCATTGGGAGAGTTCTTTTGGAAAAAGAACCACAACCAAAACCGTAATAGTCTGGCACGCCAGGCACCCCTGCGATGAATCGACAGGGGGCGGCAGATTTAACCGAGAACCCACGAGAATAAACCCCCAGGGATAGTAAAGTTCGGGGTTTTCGGGGAGATAATAAAAGGTGCCCGCCAGAGCCAGCATAAAGAGATATCAAGAGGAAAAAGCCAAAGATATCTTGAGGATTGCCTCGGTTGAGACATCCTCAGCGAATTGCTTGTTTCGCTTGAGACATCCTCGAAATAGTTGTCTGTTTCGCATGAGACATCTTCAAATTATTGCTTATTTCGCTTGAGACATCCTTGAGGGAGGAGGAGGAGAAAGAGCAAGAGGAGGAGAGGAGAAGGAGATAACATAAACCCAAAGTTTAAAACTTATTAGATTTAATGTGTAAGCGCTTGATGAAAATTAGAATTTGCATCTGCTCGTGTAGGGTAGCTCACGTGCCTCGTTTTCCCAGGATAATCAACCCCAGCGATAAACAAGTTCAGGGCGCCAGAGGGAGGAGGAGGAGAAAGAGATAGAGAGACAGAGAGAGAGAGACAGAGAAATAACGAAAGAGAGACAGAAAGAACTACAAAGAGACAGAAGGACATTGGTTTCGCTTGAGACATCCTGAAACAACGTGTTCGCTTCGCTTGATGTTGTTATCTCAACATAAGAAGGAAGTAACCTCGATGGCGAACTTTTCCCGTGATAATGAAGTTCGGCCTCCGCGCCCCCGCGCCCCCGACCAAACTCTTATTGGTCGACGATAAAAAACTCTAACGACTTAAGGGGGGGGGTACATTATTATCGTGGGTAGGCGGTTAGTGCCCTTCGGCCCATCCCGTCACCGTGCCTGGGTGGTGGGTCAGAGGCCTCTTGAATGTTCGTTTGGATATCGTGGGATGCCTCTCGGGGGCCTCTTGGAGGCAGTTTTGAGGCCTCTTGGGGGCCGTTTGGGGGCCTCTTGGGGCCTCCTTTAGGGCCTCTTGAGGGCCTCGTGGGGCCTCTAACTAGGGGCCTCTTGGGCTCTCTTGGGGGCCTTTTGGGGCATCCTGGGGGCCTCTTGGGGCGGAAGGCTCAAATTGTCGGTTTGTGTTCCCCCTTGGGCCCCACGTGCGGTGTCTCTTAGACCGTTTTGGGGCCCCTTGGACCGTCTTGGGGCCCTGTTGGGGGCGTCTTGGGCCGTCTTGGGGCAGTCTTGGGGGCTTCTGGGGCCATCTTGAGTGTCGGAAGCCCGAAAACGCAAGGGCGCGAAAAACATTGAAAAACACGAGGGACATCAATGATGTTTGCCTCTGTGGGCAATCTTGGGGGTCATCTTGGAGCGCTCTTGGGGCTTCTTTGGGGCCTCTTGGGCCGTCTTGGGGCCATCTTGGGCGTCTTGGAGCGCTTTCTGGTATTCTCTTGGCCCGTCTTGGGGCCCTCTGGGCTCTGCAAAAGTAATGCGAGGCAGCCCGGGAACGTACGAGTCCTGAGTTCAGAGAACAGAGGACCTTTGAGGACCTGAGGACGCTCCACTTTGTGCCTCGAGGCACTGTGGCGGATATGCACTGTACCGCGTTGGACCAGGGCCTGAATGGGGCGGGTCTTGGACACAGATAAATCCATTCCAGAGCTTTTCATAGCGCTCTCAGAGCGTTCCGGAACGCTCTGAGAGGGCCGCGGCGCCCGAGACATCCTCCAGAGCCGCGGGATCTTAGAGATTCTCGGTTTATCCTCATCCGAATTTGTTCTCGTTTTGGCTTCGTCTTACTGAAGAAAGTCCAAACATGGTATTCCGCCGCCGACGACCCAGAATCGGTCGACGTTGAACGATCGGATGTTTTGGAAATGATTGATCGTTCAAGGTTGAACCATCCCCGCGGTGTCAGGAACCAACGCCAGGGTCGACACGACTCGAACCTGCCGTACGGTGGGACCGAGGTACGAGATCGAGGGCGGTTCGGGGAGGGTACCCTGATGTTCTTCGTGGTTGTTGAGTGTCTCGTGCGTCCTGGGCGAAGGCCACCTCGAAGGTTCTTCGGTTTGGCAGGCGGAGTGTCTCATGTTCTTAGAGGATATTCTTCTGTCCTACGTCCGAATGTACCCGGGCGCATTGGCAGGTCGACCCTGCAAAAACAAGTGACTCCTATGTCCTGTCCATCCTTCTCATGTCCTCTGCGCCGGCAGTGGTCCCAGGGGGGAAGGAGGGGGGAGCGAAGGGAGAAGGCGAAGGCGTTCTCAGAAGGCGGCGGGACTGTTCAGAAGCCCCCCAGCCGAGCTCTAGGCGTCGCGACGCGCGGACCTCCGAGTTCCTACGTCATTGTCTGTGTCCCCAGAGGAGAGCGTGTTGAGACAACGGCAGTTGGCCGTCGTGGGGCGGAGGTGGCCCCCATCGGCACGATTGGACGCAGCTCTGGAAACTGACGCGTTTGGACCCTGGCAGAGGTCGGCCGGGATCGAGGATCTGCCGGAGTCTCACCACGCCTTGCTCCAAGGATCGACTCTGGAGGGAAGAGGGAGGGAGGGAGAGGGAGGGACGGAGGACGAGAGGGAGGACGGGGAGGGATGACGGGGAGGGAGAGGGTGGAGGAGGAATGGGGGGAGTGATCTAGGTCAAATGCGGGGGCGCGAGGATAATCGCGCTTCGCGCGTCGCGGCGTGCACTGGGGAGCTGCCCTTCTCTCAGGGGGCGGCGCGAGGGCGCAAATATGTTCGCGCATTGCGGAGCGCGATGCGCGAAAGTTAGGTGACATACGAAATACGGAGGGGGGAAGGGCGGGAGGGAGGGAGGCGAGGAGGAGTGGGATGGGGAGGGAGGAGCGGGAGGGGAAGGAGGAGAATGAGGGAGAACGAAGGTGAAGCGCAGTCGTATTTGATCGGTGGGCCAGCCCTGCCAGATCGCAACTGGCCTGCGTCTGGCGTCTGGCCTCTGCATTCCTGGGGCAGGGGTGCCCTTGTGTCCTGCCATTTCCGCAGATGCTGGGGACTTGGTCGTCGACGGCGTTCCAGGCGCGTCGCGCCAATGGGCTGTCGCGCTTCGGGGCAAGGGCCCCCTCTCGAGCTTCGGGCTGTTTTCGTCTCGAGCTCTGAGGTTCTCTCTTATCATCGCCACATTAGGGGGACGAGGAGGGAACAGGACGGGAAAAGGGGGTGAGGACAGAACCAGAAGGAGGAGCAGGAAGGGGAAGGATGAGGAGAAGGAGGCGGAATGAGGAATGAGGAGGAGGAGGAGGAGGAGGAATGAGGAGGAGGAGGAGGAGGAGGAGGAGGAGGAGGAGGAATGAGGAGGAGGAGGAATGAGGAGGAGGAGGAGGAGGAGGAGGAGGAGGAGGAGGAGGAGGAGGAGGAAGAGGAGGATCGGTTCGGCGCGTCCTGAGGCGGTCGGTGTCGACCGCCCGACGCGCGCCCGCGGCCGCGGGCGCGTCCGCGGGAGGCCCCCCTTGCGAGGTGGGGCCCCCCGACCGTGATGAAGTCCCGCTTCACGAACCCGAAGTCGCCCTTCACGGTGAGCGGCTCCGCTCGGGGTCGCGGCGCAGGCCCACCCCCGTCGAGTCGGCAGAGTTCCACCGCTCTCCGCCCGACGTACACTGGTCGTAGCAAGCGGAGTCGCGGCGCAGGCCCTTTCCCGTCGGATCGGCAGAGCCACCTTGCTCTCCGCCCGACATACACTGCACTCCAGAATGGACAGCCCCTGGTATGCCCGTAGACGCGCCAGGACGACCATCCCCATCACCGACAGCCCCTGGTATACCCGTAGGTGCGCCAGGACGACTGTCTCCACCATCAATCCTCTCCAGGTTCACCAAGACTCTCGCTGAAACGGTGGGCGCAAGTCCTTTGGCCAGCCTTGCCACGGCTAGCTTCCCTTTGGCGCTGGGATGTCCACATTCACGACCGAAGGTGGACGACTTGCAGGAGGCAGCTGCCCCACAGGCCGCACAGGCCACAAGCGGAAGGCCTTTCGCGAGCTCCGCATCACGAACAGGCGCCAGCTTCACCAGCATGTGCGGCTTACACATCTTGAGGTTGAGGGCCTTCGTTGCCAAGACTATGTCACCAGAACACTCCGAGTTCCTCTCAGGCCACCTGCATCTTGCGCACCAACGTTCGCCTGGCTCTCCACGCAGGTCGCACCGAAGAACTTCTGAAACTGCCTTGCATGCCGACATCGGCGCTGGCTTGTTAGGCTTCGACTTCCGATGCGTCGTCTCCACCCCGCCAGTGTTGGCACCAACTGCAGCAACCCACATCGCAACTCCCTCGACGAGTTGATGAACGTCCCGCAAGCGAACGCGGTCAACTCCACGGATTCGGCAGGATGCCGCTGCGCTCTTCACTGCTGTGTCCGCGAACTTGTTGCCAAGCCAGTCCCTGTAGCTGATGTCGCACTCCTGCAGGTTCTTCTTGGGCACATGTGACGCAATCTTGACCACCGTGAACCCGTCGGGACCAAGACCTCCAAACTCCTCCACCAGGTGCCAAACTTGCTTCCACGGGTCGGCCCAAGCAAACCCGTAGGCAGTGGTCCTGGCTGGCCAGTGCTCCGTGAGCCCCTTGATCACGAACGAGCTGTCGGTGACGGCAGTCACTGGAGGTACCGCGTATTTGAGCAAGTGCAGCAAGGCGGCCAACTCACCTCCATTGATGTCCACGAAGGGTTCGTTCAGCACGCCTGAGATCCCAAAGTCGAGCTCATCTGAGGTAGTCTTCAATGCTACTACGGGCCATCCAACTGCGGTGTACCTCTCAAACTCCCCCTCGTACGCTGAGCCATCGAGATACAGCACCCCTGACGGCAGCCAACCTTCAGCTCCTTGACCAGGCCAACAGACATGATCAGCTCTTGGAAGCAGTACAATACCCTGCGGCATAGGCCAGAGCCCACGCTCAAGAAGACAACGTACAGGTGCCTCGTCTGCTCGCGATACCACCTTAGCTATTTGATCAGGTAGACGAAGCTCTGGGGGCCATCCTTCACATTCACAATGCCTATGTAGCAGGGTCCCCAACTTGCCACACCTGAGGCACAAAGGATCTGCTGCATATCCACATTCATACTTACGGCTTTGAAGCCACTGTCCTCCTTGCACCAATGATTCCAGGTAGCCCCTTTCCTTCGCCGCCAGCCTGATCGCCTTCAGAACGACCTTGTTGGTCTCAGCGAGGCTGCGATTTCCGAGCTGCATCGGGCGATCGGACGGGGCCTGCCTGGCCAAACCACGCGGCGGAAACCCAGACAGGTCCTGACGCCCAGCTGCGCTGGATATTTTGGCCGGACTACGTGGCGACGCAGCGTCCTGACGCCCAGCCTGTGCCGTTAACTCGCCACCTTCTGCCACACTCGCTAGACCAACGAATTGCAGAGCACCAGGAATTCCACTCGGACCATCGTCATCTGGGGTGGAGCCTTCATGCACCTCCCCTTCACAGCTGCAAACTTCTCCAAATAAATTGCGGAACTAATTTGACCAATCTGCGCCTACAGATTGCCGAAGATCGCCCAACGAGGTGGCTGACTACTGCACTGGCTCCTGGTACCTTGGTCCCAGTCCCACAATAGGAGGCGCCATAACACCTTCATCCTGAAAACGGCTGCCACGGGGACCAGGAGCTGCTGCCACAACTTCTTCCTGATTAGTTGCAGGGGGCACCACCGGCGTAGGATCTGGTACCGCAGCTACGCAAGCAGTAGGCACTCGTGCCTTCTTGACAGCCACCGTGGGCACGCCGTGCTTGCCGAAGAAGCCATTCAACTTGACGGTGGCCTTGCCCGTAAATCGTACAATTGGTTCGAGAACATCTCCAGCGGCGAGATGTTGTAACCCCTCTTGCTTGCCAACTTGGTTCCATTGCCATGCTTCAATCGCTCTCCAAAGCAATCGCTTGACAGCCCAAGGGGAAACCTCAAACACCTGCACCTGAATTCCTTCATTCGTTTGCCACAGACTCGGCTTGAGGATGGTCCAACCGACACGTGCCAACGTCGTACGTACTGCTGAAAAAGGGCCCTTGACCTGGCTCCACAACTCCGCCTGGCAGTTGCCCAGGCAATACTCCACGATGTGCTGCGGTATCCACTGTTCCCAGACCGCCCTCAGCAGAGTCAGGACTGGGCACACCGTAGCTCTGATCATCGGGTCCAAGGCCGTGGTCAGCATCAAGGTCAAGGATCGAGAGCGTCCTGCAGTCGTCGGCGCCACTGCGGCGAAAACCAAGCTTCGGACCTTCTTCAGCTCCTCTGAAGCGCAACCTGTCACGTTGAAGCCATAGCTGACCGAGGCCTCCAAGCCACTGCGAGCAACTTTGCGAACTGCTCGGAGGAGGAGGAGGAATGAGGAATGAGAAGGAGGAGGAGGAGGAGGAGGAGGAGGAGGAGGGAGAAGGAGGGGGAGGAGGAGGAGGAGGAGGAGGAGGAGGAGGAGGAGGGGGAGGGAGGAGGGAGGTTTGAGGAGGAGGAGGAGGAGAGAGGAGGAGGAGGAGGAGGAGGAGGAGGAGGAATGAGGAGGAGGCGGAGGAGGAGGAGGAGAAGGGCCAGTGTAAACCCAAGAGGCATCAACGATGTTGGAATAAACCCTCCCTCCAAGCTCCCTCCTCATAGGCTCCATACAACGGTTCATTACCATTGAAGGAATTGCCTCTTTGGAAGACAACCGTTTGAAGACCCTGGAGCATGCACAAACAATGTTCTCGGGATTCCAACGCCACGGATCAACCTGACTGTTGCGTCTTGACAACCTTGAATCGTGCCAGAACGCCATTCTTTGGATGTCAACACAGCGGATCAACATAACTGTTGCACCAGCATGACCCTGAACTCTTTCAAAACACCATTTCTGGCACGTTGATGTTGGGAATCCGTGGAGCCCTTGCAATGCTTAAAACGAATGCGCGCCGCGCTAAGACAAAGCCATCTATTGAAAAGGAACCGCCCTCAGTCCGTGAAACTCTTGCATTTGTTACAACGAATGTGCGCCGCGCTAAGGCGAGAGCCACATGTGGAAAAGGAACCGCCCTCAATCCGTGAAGCTCTTGCAAGTTGTTGGAATCAATATGCGCCGCGCTAAGGCGATAATCACATTTTCAAAACGACCCGCCCTCTGTCCGTGAAGCTCTTGGAAATGTTCAAAACGAAAGTGCGCCGCACTATGGCGAGAGCCACATTTTGAAAGCGACCCGCCCTCCATCTGTGAAACTGTTGCCAATGTTTAAGTTTCGGAGTCATAAATGGTGAAGATGTCTCATGCGGAACGCCCGGCCCGCCCTAAAAACTGGCTTCGGGGTGCGACAGGGAGAAGTTATTTATCAGACGATGATGATGATAAGGATAACGATGATGCTGATGGTGATGCTGATGTTGATGCTGATGATGATCATGATGATGACGATAATGATGATGATGATGATGATGATGATGATGATGATGATGATGATGATGATGATGATGATGATGATGATGATGAGGAGGATGAGGATGATGATGATGATGATGATGATGATGATGATGATGAGGATGAGGATGAGGATGATGAGGATGATGAGGATGATGAGGATGATGAGGATGAGGATGAGGAGGAGGAGGAGGAGGAGGAGGAGGAGGAGGAGGAGGATGGTGGTGATGATGATGCTAATCATGCTGAGGATGCTGCTGATGACGATGATGATGAGGAGGAGGAGGATGGCGAGGAAGGAGGATGAGAGAAAGGAGGTCGTGGAGGCGGATGGAGAGGAGGATCAGCAGGAGGGTGACGCGGGTGGGCCGCTGCTGGCCCGGCTGTCCGAAGGGGAGAGGCGCCCGCCGCGTTGCGCAGGCTTTTTTGGACGGTTCCCTCGACATCACTACTCTGGCCCGCCTCCATCCGATGGGGCGCACGCGCGCGGCGGCGACGGCTTCTCCTCCCCTCTCGTCCCTCGCTTTCTCCTCCTCGTCCTCCTGGTCCCTCCCTTTTTCTCTCTCGCTCTCTCTCTCTCTCTCGTTCTCTTTCTCTCATATGCTCCAGCAACGTAGAGGAGCAAGATGATGAGCAGGAGGAGGAGGAGGAGGAGCAGGAGGAGGGGGAGGAGGAGTAGGAGAAGAAGGAGGAGGAGGAGCAGGAGGAGACCTTGGTTGTACTTGTATCTTGTATCTCGAGCAGCAGCAGGAGGAGGAGGAGGAATGATGATGATGATGATGATGATGATGATGATGATGATGATGATGAGGTGGAGGAGGAGGAAAGGAGGGAGGAGGAGGAGTAGTAGGAGAGATGATGATGATGATGATGATGATGATGATGATGATGATGATGATGAAAGTGATGATGATGATGATGATGATCATGATCATGATGATGATAATGATGATGATGATGGTGATGATAATGATGATGTCGACGATGATGATGATGGTGATAATGATGACGACGACGACGATGATGATGACGATGATGATGATGATGATGCTGATAATGATGATGATGATGATGATGATGACGATGATGATGATCATGATGATGCTGATGATGATGGTGGTGATGCTGATAATCATGCTGATACTGCTGCTGCTGATGATGATGATGCTGGTGGTGATGATGATGATGATGACGATGATGATGATCATGATCATGATCATGATCATGATGATGATCATGATCGATGATCATGAGATGGTGATGATGATGATGATGATGATGATGATGATGATGGTGATGGTGATGATGATGATGACGACGATGATGATGATGATGATGATGATGATGATGATGATCATGATCATGATCATGATCATGATGATGATGATGATGCTGATGATGATGATGCTGATGATGAGGATGATGAGGATGATGAGGATGAGGAGGATGAGGATGATGAGATGATGATGAGATGATGATGAGGATGATGATGATGATGATGATGAGGATGATGAGGACGATGAGGATGATGAGGATGATGATGATGATGATGATGATGATGATGATGATGATGATGATGATGATGATGATGAGAAGGAGGATGAGGAAGAGGAGGAGTCGGAGGATGAGAAGGGGGAGGAGGAGGAGGATTGGAAGAGGAGGAGAAGGAGGAGAAGGAGAGAAAAGAGGTGGAGGAGGACGAGGAGGAGGAGGAGGAGGAGGAGGAGGAGGACGAAGGGAAGGAGGAGGACGAGGACGAGGAGGACGAGGGCAAGGGCCGGCCAGCGCTGCGGGGAGCCGCTGGGCGAAGCGGCGCGCCACGCCTGGCGCTGCGCCCGCGGGGGAGGGCTGAAGGCTCGCAGCTGCGACCTCGAGCGCGCCTGGGCGGGTATCCACGCGGAGTGCGGGTACCGCGTGGAGAGCCAGGTCCACGTCCCCATGTCGGACCGCTGGCGCTGGACCTGCGCGGGCTGCGACGCTGGCGGGACGACGGCGGACCGGCCAGCGGGCCCTTGCGCCACCTGCGGGACCGCGCTGCGGTCAGAACGCGAGGAGGCGATCCTCGACATCGAGGTACAGCGCCTTGTTGTCACGGTGCGCTACTGCGTGCCGGGAGACGCCGACGGCCTGGCTGCGGCTGCAGGGCGCAGCGGCGCGGTCGACGCCGCAGCGGAGGCCGACAAACGCCGCGTGGCGCTGGAGACTGGGGGCCGCCACGGGCCAGCAGCCCTCCGGCAACTGCGCCAGCTGGCCCGGGACGAGGCGGCCTTCCTGGGCGAGGAGGCAGCGCCGGCGGCTGTTAGCGCCCTGATGTCCCAGTGGGGCCAGGAGCTCGCCGTGTTTCCACCAGGCCACGGCGCGGCAGCTCTGGACCGCCCCGGGGGCTGACCGCGCCAGCTGGGCAGCGGCGCTGCGGGCCGCGGAGGCGGCCTAGCCGTGCGCTGGACGTTGGCTGGTGCTCTTCGCGGGCTACCTGGTCGTCGCGGCGCTCTTCGTCATCGTCTCGCTGCTCCTGCTGAACAGAGGGGGTAGGTGCGCGCCCG